ACTCCTCAAACCCTGAAACCTAAACACTAAACCCTGAAGCCCTAAAACCTTAAAACCCTAAACCCTGTAAATCCTGAAGCCCCAAAGCCCTAAAGCCCCAAAGCCCTACAACCCTGAAAACCTAAACCCCTAAGCCCTAAGTCCTAAAACCCTAAAACACGAATGCTCTGAAACCTACCCCCTAAACCCTAAACCCTAAACCCTAAACCCTAAACATCGAACCACGCAGGCCTAGTTTGGGGTTTCGTGCGCCGGTTTGCGTTCAGAGCTCAAGGTTTAGGAGTTCAGGATTTCTGTTCTAGGATTGTAGGCTTTCGGGCTTAGGGTTTAGGGTTTGGAGTTTAGGCTTTAGGGTTTAGGGCCCCCTGAATGATCATCAGCCCGAGAAGCTTCCCTTAGGGTGGTTTTAGGGTTAGGGTTTAGGGTTAGGGTTTAGGGTTTAGGGTTTAGGGTTTAGGGTTTAGGGTTTAGGGTTGAGGGTTTAGGGTTTACGGTCTAGGGTCTAGGGTTTAGGGTTTAGGGTTTAGGGTTTAGGGTTTGTAGGCTTTAGGGCGCTGTCCACCTCAGGCGTTTGGCCCTCGCCTGGTTAGTGGCGACACGGTGACGATGCTTGCGGATATTGATGCGCAGACCGTCGCCTATGCGGTGACCGGAGGGTTCATCATAAAGAGCCAGGGGGTGAACCCTAAACCCTAAACCCTAAGCCCTAAAACCCTAAACCCTAAACCCTAAACCCTAAGCCCTAAAACCCTAAACCCTAAACCCTAAGCCCTTAAACCCTAAGCCCTAAACCCTATGTAAGGGAGGGTTAGGGTGACCCCAAACCCCAAGCGCCAATGAAGAAACATGTCTGGTACCAAGCCGAAGGATCCTTGGCCCAAAGATCACGGGTTCTCTTAGTACCCCCCCCCCCCCCCCCCCTCTATACCACAAGGGTTTAGGGTTTAAATAGGGGGTTTAGGGTTTAGGGTTTAGGGCTACCCCCCCCCCCCCCCCCTAGGTTTCCCCCCACAATTAAGGCTATTTAGGGGTGATTAAGCCTAATTAGGGCGATTTAAGGGGGGGAACCTAGGGGGGTAGGGAGGGGGTAGTAGGGGAACCCATGATAGGACAGAACGGCAAGCAAGTCTGGGACTTCGGAGTGTAGGAGCTTAGGACATTAGGGGTTTAGGGGTTTCGGGTTTTTGGTTTAGGGTTTAGGGTGTAGGGTTGAGGGTTGAGGGTTGAGGGTTTAGGGTTTAGGGTTTAGGGTTTAGGGCAAGAGCCTGTTCCAAAGCCCTCCAGGTGAATGGCGTTTGCCACGGCGCCCTAGCCTTCAGTTCGAGCCGCGTGTCTCTGGCGGCCTCTCTCGAAATGGAGGATACATTCTCCCTGGAGGAGGGTTTAGGGTTTAGGGTTTAGGGTTTAGGGTTTAGGGTTTAGGGTTTAGGGTTTAGGGTTTAGGGTTTAGGGTTTAGGGTTTAGGGTTTAGGGTTTCGGGCTCTAAGCTCCAGCTCACAAGATCACAGCCCCAGGCCCTAAACCTGCAACAAATGCCAAGGGCTATACCCCGGAGCCCTAGGCCTTCAAACCCCCAAACCCTAAACCCTAGACCCTAGACCCTAGACCCTAAACCCTGAACCCTGAACCCTAAACCCTAAACCCTAAACCCTAAACCCTAAACCATGTGTTGGGCCAGCCACTTCTTAAACTTCGCAGCCCCTCAGGCCCGCACTGCCCCGCCTTCCTTAAGTAAGAGGCCTAAGCGCTACCCCCTAAACCCTCAACCCTCAACCCTAAACTCTAAACCCAACAGCAAAAAAACCAACGAGCCCCTGAACCTCAGATTTCATCCCCAGTCGGCTAAAAACCCCCAAACCCCCGACCGTCACCCCCCCACAAGCACCCAACCCTAAACCCTAAACCTAACCAACCGTAAACCCTAAACCTGACCAACTCTAAACCCTAAACCCCTATGAACCCTAAACCTAGACCCAAAAGTTCAGAGCTTTACAGGACACCACCCTCGAAGACGTGCCAGCTTGCCTCGTCGAAGCACCAGTTGTATCGGGGGCAGTGTCGCGGGCTCGCGGCAGCTCGGGCGCACCCTGAACCCTAAACCCTAAACCCTAAACCCTAAACCCTAAACCCTAAAATGTTTCTGAGGAATCTTGCAGGCTTCGGGATTGAAACAACTCTGAACCCTCAACCCCTAAAACCCTGAAGCACTAAACCCCTGTAAAGCCCTCTAAAGCCTCTAAAGCCTTGACTTTGTGGTACTTTACTGTAACTTTAGATCCTTAGCCTTTTTGGGTTTCTTGGGTTTCTCCTTAAGGCAGCCCCATACAGCCCTAGAAATCCCGATATAAAAACCCTGAGCCTTCAGAGCTTTAAGAGGGAAGTTCCTGCTTGGTAGAGTCAGTTGAGAAGCATCGAGGCTGTAGAGAGAGTTGTTAGGTGTTAGGGATTCGGGTTGTTAGGGTTTTAGGGTTTAGGAGGTTGTAGGGATTGCGGTTTCAAGGGTTCAGGATTTGGAGCTTGCGAAGCGGAGGGGTGGCCAGATAGTGCCGGCATTCTCGCCTGGCATCCCGCAAAAAGCAGTTAGGGTCTAGGGTTTAGGGTTTAAGGGTCTAGGGTCTAGGGTTTATGGTTTAGGGTTTAGGGTTTCGGGTTTAGGGTTTAGGGTTAGGCCAAAGCTGAACCTTGCAAGTCCCACGACCCGAAAACTCCCGCAGAAGACCCGGAACGACTCTCCAAGGCACCCAAAACCCCCCAAACTCCTCCCTAAACCCTGAACCCAAAGCCCAAAACCCCAAGACCCTAAACCTAAACCCTAAACCCCAAACCCCAAACCCCAAACCCCAAACCCCAAACCCCAAATCTGCAAGGCATGATGTTTCACGCTCTCTGGGCCCTCGCGCCTTTTGGCGCCTTCTGGGCGCAATGCAGCTGAAGCTCGCTTTTGGTGCAACTAGGGTTTAGGGTTTAGGGTTTAGGGTTTCGGGTCCTTACTTGGACATTCATGGTGCTCATAACCCAGTTGTAACTGTACTTCTAACCCACTTAGAATTATTCTGGCCTCAGGGCTGTTTAGGGTGCCCAGACAGGCAATAAGAACACGACCCCATCTCGGGCCCTGGCCTGTACTGTAACAGGTAAGGGTTTAGGGTTTTAGGGTGTAGGGGTTTAGGGGTTTAGGGGTTTAGGGGTTTAGGGGTTTAGGGGTTTAGGGGTTTAGGGGTTTGGGGGTTTGGGGGTTTCGGGTTTGGGGTTTAGGGTTTAGGGTTTAGGGTTTAGGGTTTAGGGTAGAAGCTGGCGGCTCGGAATTTAGGCCTTAGGGGTTCATGTTCTTGGGCCTTTCGGAAGGATTTCGCAAGGAACCCCGTCGACAGGCGAGTGCGCGTTGGCAAAGCTGCATAACCTCGAGTGTGGAGATGAGCTTGGTTTGCGACTCAAAGTTGTCAAACTGGTTTAGGGTTTAGGGTTTAGGGTTTAGGGTTTAGGGTTTAGGGTTTAGGGTTTATAGGGTTTAGGGTTTAGGGTTTAGGGCTCTTTCTGCGCGTGCTTTTCTTACTAGTTCTAAATCGGGAGTTCGGTCCAACAAATATTTGTATAGCCCCTTGAAGTCAACAAATGTGGTGGGGTCTACGGTGCCCATGTATTTACCTAATTCATAAACCCTAAACCCTGAACTCTAAGCCTAAACCCTAAACCCTAAGCCCGAAACCCTAAACCCTACCCAATTCTCAAGTTCCCTTTGCGAAGAACTAGTAAGCTTTGCACGCTTCCCAGAGACTCCAATACCCCTTATTTAAGGAATATTCCTTCAACCATATAAGGAACCCTAAACTAAACCCCAAACCCTAAACCCTAAACCCCAAACCCCAAACCCTAAACCCTAAACCCAAAACCCGAAACTGTTGGGGAATATTCCTTAACTAAGGGGTATTGGAGTCCCTGGGTTCTTCAGGCATGTAGGCCAGCAAAGCCGCCAGTCCCGCGCTTTCAACAAAAAGTGCCTTGCAGGGCTATTAAACGTTGAAGGGTTCAGGGTTTAGGGTTTAGGGTTCAGGGTTTAGGGTTTAGGGTTTGGGGTTTGGGGTTTAGCGGTGCTTAGGCTGTTGAGGACAGTCGAGTGAGGCGTCTTGGCCGCTTCGGCCATGCAACCCTGAACCCAAAACCCTAAACCGCAAACCTACGGTTGTCCTCCAGAACTCTTCGAACCTTTCAGCCCTAAACTCCTGGGGTCCCCATCTCCCACCACTAGGAAAATGCAAAGTCCTGAATCCGCCATAATCATATTGTCTGGGGGGTAGTTAAAGGTGGGGCTTGTATAAGATCCCATGCATGCATCTGTGCAGATTCGACAGTTTAGGCCTTGGATTGCCGTCATCTCTAAAACGAAAATGATGCGAATGCTTTCGCTTTAACAACCATTCTTTGCGGTGCATTGCTATTCTCATCTTACCTTATCCGTTTACGTTTTCTTAGATTACATCATAACCGCATTACAAAGGTGTTTGCGATATGATATATATATGGATGTCTGCATGTGCGTATGGATGTATGCATTTACGTACGTACGTATGTATGTATGTATATGACATGACTCTCAATGGCATTGAATGACGTGATGAGTGAAAGGCCTACAATATGTAACGTGAGTGCTTGCTCATATTCTGGAAAATACAAAGCTCTGCATGAGCCGGTGAATCTTGGCTAAATTGGTGACGGCAGCGGAGTTGCAATTGCATGTACTTGCATTTGTGACTCTGCTTCCATGCTCTATTCTGAACATTGGCCGAGTCGGCCATGTGCATTGGCGTGCAAAGTAAGCGTCACACAACATGAAAAGTATAGCCCTAAACCCTAAACCCTAAACCCGAAACCCTAAACCCAAAACCCTAAACCCTAGACCCTAAACCCAAAACCCTAAACCCTAGACCCTAGACCCTTGACCCTAAACCCTAAATCCTAAACCCCCTGAACCCCTCGAGCTCCAACACCTTCACTCCTGGGAGGTCCTTCCCCGGCAGCTGCTCCTCGAGGGGAGGCCGTGGGCACTGGACGAGGACACCTGCTGCCTCAACCCTCAACCCTCAACCCTCAACCCTCAACCCTCAACCCTCAACCCTCAACCCTCAACCCTCAACCCTAAACCCTAAACCCTAAGCCCTAAATCCCCAGGACACCTGGTGGCTGCCTTGCCTTCTGCCACAGGGGAGATGGAGGAGGCTGAACTCCGAAAGGAGGCACTCTTGGGGTTCTTTTTGGTACGTAGGGCCTATGGGGTTTAGGGTTTATAGGGTTTAGGGTTTAGGGTTTAGGGTTTAGGGTTTAGGGTTTAGGGTTTAGGGTTTAGGGTTTAGGGTTTAGGGTCTAGGGTGCTGGATCTTGATTTGGAATCGAAAGGGTCGAGAGATGTTGAGAGTGAAGGGAATGGGATCTGGCTAGGACTTGATGCTTCTAACCCTACACCCTACACCCTACACCCTAAACCCTAAACCCAAGAGCCGCGTGTTGAGGATTTCGTGTGGTCCGAGCATGAGTTCAACGACGGCGAGAAGGAGAACCGCCGAGTGCTGCGGGAGTTCACCAAGGAGTTCAAGAGGATGGCAGAAGCCACCCCTGATGGCGATCTCTGGCTGAAAAGAAACAGAGGTCTTTTTTTTTTTGGGGGGGGGGGAGGAGGAAAGAGTCGGAGGTCACTTTCATCTTTTTGTTTTTTTTTGGGGGGGGGGCGGGGGGGGGGGGGGGGGGGGGGGGGGGCTGGTTGTTTTTTTTTTGGAGTTTAGTTCAGGATTTTAGGTTTAGAGCTTAGTTTAGGGGCTTGGGGCTTCGGGTTGAGAGTCTAGTCGGCCAATTAGCGCGAAGCCCTAACTGAGCTTACTACCCTGTTTTTTCAGAACCTACAGCCAATCCCTAACCCCACCCTACACCCTAGACCCTAAACCCCAAACCCCTAAACCCTGGCCAGAAAGGTTCGGGACCCAAAGCTCCTGACCGCTGCTCTTGACCTTGCCTTGGCCTGCGTCAAGTGCTACGCGCCTGGCCTTTGAGCATGGGGTTTGGGCAGCTGATGGTTTAGGGTTTAGGGTACCGGGTTCAGGGTTTGGGGCGACTGAAGGTCTTACTTGGAGGTTCATGGGTAGTTGTAAGTAGGGTTATAAGTTGGAGACCTCTAGTCATCGCCTGATTTAAACCTACCCATGAACCTCCAAGTATGGATTCGGGCTTCAATGCTTTGGGGTGCAAGGTTTGCTGAGGGTTTGCGGTTAACGTCTAGGTTGTGCTTGCTTAGGGTCTGCCAGGGGGGGGGGGGGGGGGGGGGGCGAGGCTTTAAGGTGGTCGAGGCTTCATGGTTGGCAGGTTTAGAGGGTAAAAAGGGCGTAACACAGGGCCCATAGTATCCAACCCCGCCTTAGTGCGAGTATTTGCAACAGTTCTCTTTGCACTGGCATCATGAAGGAAACTTCGAGTGCCTGAAGCAGAAAGGCGGGAGCTTCCTGCAAACTAAAGAACAACAAAGCGCCCGCCCTAAGTTTACATGTCAATGCACGCTGGCTTGCGCAGCAGAATTCGCAGGGCAGCAATGGCCCCGCCAGGCCCTAAACCCCTAAACCCCTAAACCCCTAAACCCCTAAACCCCTAAACCCCTAAACCCCTAAACCCCTAAACCCCTAAACCCCTAAACCCCTAAACCTAAACCCCTAAACCCCTAAACCCCTAAACCCCTAAACCCCTAAACCCCTAAACCCCTAAACCCCTAAACCCCTAAACCCCTAAACCCCTAAACCCTGAACCCTGAACCCTGAACCCTGAACCCTAAACCCTAAACCCTAAACCCTAAACCCTAAACCCTAAACGTAGTCTCCATTGTAGTTGCTTTTTTGGTGTAACCAAGTTCATATTAAAGGATCCTAACCATAAAGTTGGTCAGCCGAATAAAGGAACTACAATGGAGACGACAGGTAGGGTTACTGTATACATGAAGGCTTCTGGGCCAATTTGAGCCGTAGGGTCCTGAATCAGCAAAGGATCTTTCGCTGCACCCGGCACTAACCCGTATCCCAAACCGCAGGGGTTTAGGGGTCAGGGGTTTAGGGTTTGGGGTTTAGGGTTTGGGGTTTAGGGTTTAGGGGTTTAGGGTTTAGGGGGTTTAGGGTTTACGGGGTTTAGGGTTTTCGGGGTTCTATACAGAATGGTGACGACGGGCAGGTAATGGGTTCTGCGCCCCGTTCAGTGGAGACATGTTGGCGGCTTATGGCAAGTACTTGAAGGTTCATGGGACTTAATAAGCACTTATAACTGTACTTATAACCCTACTTATAATTGGGATAACCCCTATAAGGCCCTTTAGGGATATTATAAGTAGGGTTCTAAGTGCAGTTATAATTGGTTAATAAGTCCCATGAACCCTCAAGTAGGGTGCTCGAAGTCAGAATTCCTGTGCTGCGTCTATATGGGACGGGGGACTTGGGAGGTCACTGTATTTGCCCTGGGTGGGCTAGCTGCCTCCGCCGTGTGCAGTGCTCCTCAGCTACTCGTCGTTTAGTACATCCAAATATACCTGGGCCCCCAAACGTATGTAGTATGTAGAATCATAGCACTTTATTGGTTTTTGGGCGATTATTTACCTACTTTTGGGGGGTTTAGGGGTAGTTCCATGCATATCAAGTGCTTACGCCATGGTGCGCTTGGTGGGCTTCCTTTTGATCGTCCTTGCAGCCGGGATCCGATCCAAAAGCGATACACCCGGGTCGTGGGAAGAGCACCCCGCGAGCTCGGCGGAGGAGCTTCAGGGGCTCCTGAGAACAGTGCTGGTGGAGAGCAGCAGAGCGGAGGCCACCAGGGAAGAGCCCGGCGATGCGGAGGCGCAAGAGCGGACGCTCAGAGAGCGGATTGCCAGCGTCAGAGAGGACTGGCAGAGCGGCAGCGCCGGCGCTTGCCATCAGCAGCTGGGGCAGTTGATGTACAACCTCGCGCATGCGTGCGAATCCTGGCATCCGAAAGCCGACTGGCTTCTCGACTACTACGACCCCGTCCTCCCGGACAAGACCTGTGCCGAGAGCGTCAGCGACATTTTTGCTTTGGGAAACGAATTGGTGGAAACCCTTCGTGTCTCCAGAGATGCTGTCGCCTCCTTCGATGTGGACGACAAGACGCTCCGTCGATATCAAGCACTCTCCTTCCTGAGGAGCTGGCTGGTGAAGCTGACCGAGACTGCCGATCATGCGCTGCTTTGGGCTGGCTTCTGGGACGGTGACCCCGAGAACCGCACGACGCAAGCAGCGCTCTCCAACTTTGCCAAGGCAACCGAGCACGCCACTGTGCACCCCAACAGCTTCCTGGGCCAAGTCATCGAGGCGAGCGAGAGCCTCGACGCCTGCTACGAGGATGCCCAGACCAGTGCACTCGCAGGGAACATGTGGTCAATCGCAAGCATGAGCTTCGTGCTCGGGATGCGCGAGCGGGCGCAAGGAACCGTCGTCGCACTGGTCAACAAGCAGATCACGGGTGAGCGGAACTTGTCGCAGTCCGTGCTGTCCACACATGAAATCCCAACAGTGGGGCTCGCAGCCTGGGGGGTCGGGTTCTGGTCTCCGAAAGTGCTGGTGGTGGACCTCATGGGCACATGCGACAAGACGAGCCCAGCGCTGCAGAAGCGGCTTCTCGCCCGCCTGCCCGCTTGGGCCAAGTCCCTGACGAACTGGAGCCCGGACGCCTTCGCCACGAGGTCGCGGCTCCGCTGGCAGTGCATCGACTGCTCCGGGGCTTGCAGCCTGGACAAGGCCCTGGCAGGGCACGTGGAGGCGTTGGTGAAGGCCTTCTCAAGAAGATCTCGTCTGATCTGTGTGCTTCGCGCTTGTCTTGTATGTTGACTCAAAAGTCTCCCGACCCGGAGGCCAAGGAGGAGCAAGACCGGAAGGACCAGGAGTTCCGCCAGGCCCGCACCTTACCATCCAGCCTCGCGGCTGTGCGGATTGGAAGCGACCTGTTGTTTTCAAGACAGAGTCATATTAAACTATGAAATACGCGGATGCCTGCGCGTGTATACAATACATACCTATACCTATGTATACATACATACCCATACCTATCCACCTACCTACCTACCTGCATACCTACGTACGTACATGCATACATACATACATACATACATACATACATACATACATACATACATACATACATACATACATACATACATACACACATACATACGTAAATACATACGTTACATGCATACATTCATGCATGCATACATACAGTACATACATACATGCTATTCCTCACAAAGGCGTGGCATTATGCCATGCATGTATGCATATATACATGCATACACACGTGACTGCACAAGCACATGCGTTCCTACGTGTACGCATACATGCACATTTACATGCACAAGCCTACAGATGCACTGCTTTTGTGCCTGCCTTACCATGGTCATTACGCTGCTCTACCTTCACAACACAAAGCACACAGTGCACACACACACACACACAGCCGCTGAGCACATTAGAGCAATGACCTCATTCGTCGTTCAAGCTTAGTCTACCACTTAAGCCGTTTTCTCATTCGTTTACTCGATGAAGCTCTGTCATTGTGTGCGCGTGCGAGTCATTACTCGCTTTAGTTGTTGTAGCACCTCAGTATGACTTCTTCGTGAGGGGCCTCACAGCACAACACACAGCCACGATGACCATCGCAAGATAAAACCGCATACATACACGCATAAGCCAATACCGTTAATGTGTTTGCACCATTGCCAAGGTTCGGAATAACTTCATTGAACGTACAAACGTGTTCTACAACTTGAACACCCGGTAATCGCATGGTGCATTGCCGATCTGCCGTGTTCTGATTCCCGTTAATGACAGTCCGTGTCTCTGTGCGTGCGTGCGCGTGTGCGTGTGCGTGTGCGTGCGCGTGCGCGTGTGGGCGTGCGTGTGCGTGTGCATGTGCGCGTGTGTGCGCGTGCGCGCGTGTGCGCGTGTGCGCGTGTGCGCGTGTGCATGTGTGCGCTTGTGCGCGTGTGCGCGTGTACGCGTGTGCGCGTGTGCGCGTGTGCGCGTGTGCACGTGTGCGTGTGTGCGTGTGTGCGCGTGTGCGCGTGTGCGCGTGTCTGCGTTTAGGGTTCCAGGGTTTAGGGTGTTAGGGCTTTAGGGTTTTAGGGTTTATAGGGTGTTAGGGGTTTAGGGGTTTAGGGTTTTAGGGTTTTAGGCTTTGTGGGCATTGCCACTTGTGTCTGGTATTTGAGTTGTTTCAAGTTTGCTGTGCGGAGCTTTAACCGTGCGTGCGTGCGTAAGTGGGCGGGCGGGCGGGCGTGTGCGTGTGTGCGTGTGTGCGTGTGTGCGTGTGTGCGTGTGTGCGTGTGTGCGTGTGTGCGTGTGTGCGTGTGTGTGTGACCGTGTGTGCGTGTGTGCGTGTGGTGGCGTGCGTGCGTGCGTGCGTAGCGTGCGTGCGTGCGTGCGTGCGTGCGTGCGTGCGTGCGTGCGTGCTGCGTGCGTGCTTGCGTTGCGTGCGTGCGTGCGTGCGTGCGGCGTGCGCGTGCGTGCGTGCGTGCGTGCGTGTGTGTGTGTGTGTGTGTGTGTGTGTGTGTGTGTGTGTGTGTGTGTGTGTGTGTGTGTGTGTGTGAGTGTGGGTGGGTGTGTGTGTGTGTGTGTGTGTCTGCGTGCCAGCGTTTGCGTGTGCATGTGCGTGTGCGTGTGCGTGTGGGTGTGTGTGTGTGTGTGTGTGTCTGTGTGTGTGTGTGTGTGTCTCTGTGTGTGTGTGTGTGTGTGCGTGTGTCTGGGTGTGTGTGCCTGTGTGCGTGTAACTCCTGTTTCTAAGGCCAGTGAGTGTATATGCTGTAAGAAGATACTCTGGACTATCTGACAAGCGCAAGTGCAGAAAGCAGGCGTGATGCCAACCAACGAAGCTAGCGGAACGAGTGTGGGGGAAACAATGCAGTTTCCCTCTTCTCCCAATGTGAGAACACTAGCGCTTGCTAGCATGTAGAGCTGAGCAAATTTGCGCGCAAAAGCAGGGCAATATTTTTTGAACCCCAGACCGGTGCGGCCCGCCAGGTCGTGGGTCCTCGTTTCGCGGCCGTGGCCGCGGCCGCGGCCGAGCTCGGCCAAAAAGAGTTGAACTTCGTTTACAAGCTGATGATGCATGTGCACGACATGCGTAGAACCAGAGCGCTTATGAGACACGCTGCTGTGCTTGGACAGCAGCTCAACAGCACGGTTCGGGCGGCGGAGCCCCAAATTGAACTCGACGGTCCAGCCAAGCAACTGCGTGCGGAACAACTCCTCCGAGAGAATCTGGGTTCCTGTCAAGGGATTTGCTTTAAGTTACCATCGTAGCGAAAGTCTATCATTTACTATAGATCCCATATATGGTAACTTAGGTTAAACCCTTGAACCAGAACCCAGGAATGCTGATCCGAACCCACCGGACCAGCTCGGTCGAACAGGTCTCATCTATGCTGCCTGCGACGGGAACCTGAAGCTGATCAAGATCTTGCTGAATGCCGGAGCCCAGCCGGAGGCCCACGATGAGCTAGGCAACACCGCCCTCATCAATGCTGCAGGACTCGGCCACTACGAGGTGGTCGAGGCGTTGGTGAAGGCTGGAGCCCAGGTTGAGGCCCACGGACAGATTGGTGTCACATCCCTCATGGTCGCTGCAGCGAGTGGCCACTTGATGGTGGTCGAGGTCTTGGTGAAGGCTGGAGCCCAGCTGGAGGCCTGCAATGAGGATAGGGACACAGCCATCATGGTCGCTGCACGCAACGGCCACTTGAAGGTGGTCGAGGCTCTGCTGAAGGCCGGAGCGCAGCCGGAGGCCCGCGATGAGAAAGGCAACACAGGCCTTGTATTCGCCGCGCAAGAGGGCCACCACGAGGTGGTCGAGGCTTTGCTGAAAGCCAGAGCGCAGCTGGAGGCCCGGAATGAGGATGGCCAAACAGCTGTAACACTCGCCGCATCAGACGGCCACCACGACGTGGTCGAGGCCTTGGTGAAGGCCGGAGCGCAGCTGGAGGCGCGCAATGAGCTTGGTGAAACAGCCCTCATGTGCGCAGCTGAGAACGGCCATGTGCAAGTAGTCGAGGCCTTGGTGAAGGCCCGAGCCCAGCTGGAGGCCCGCAATAAGAAACAGACTGGTTTCACAGCCCTCATGTTTGCTGCAGGCGCAGGCCACTTGAAAGCGGTTGAGGCGCTGCTCAAAGCCGGAAGTCAAGCTGATGCGCACGGTGACGGGGGCCTCACAGCCCTCATGTGGACTGCCTTCTCAGGTCACTTGCACGTGGTTGAGGCCTTGCTGGAGGCCGGTGCCCAACCGCAGGCCCGCGACGCGGTTGGCAAAACGGCCCGGAACTATGCGCAACAATCTGGGAAACTGCAGATTGCAGAATTCCTGGGACGATACATCGTTGCCCACTGAAGCCTTGAAAAAGCCCGGACATTCTCGACGTCTCATTGTAGCGGGTTTTGGGGGGTTATTGTAGTATAAGTATCTAGGGACACTAAGGGACTACCATTAGTAACTATTCCGAGCACCATACTACAGGGTATGTGCGGTTTCTGGCTGAGAGTGTAGGGCTTCAGGGTTAGAGGCTTTAGGGGCTTTAGCGGCTTTAGATTCCCCAAAGAACGGCTATGTACCTGCTTGGCTTCCCTTAAGGGTATAAAGAGGGTAGGGACCCTTAATCTTACGCCCACACACAGCCCCCATTTAAAAAAAAACACATATATACACATATATATATATATATATAGACATACCTGCTATATACCTAAGCAGCCCCGAAACAACCCATAAAGAAATTCTAAGATCCCTTATAGGGGTCCCTCCTTTAGTCCCCTGACTCCCACCTCCCAGGAGCTGGATAAGGCGGATGCGATCTACCGTCGCGCCTTCGCTTGTACCGTACGCCGCACACGCTCTTTTTGTCTAGAGTCCAGGGTGCAATTAGGGCTTAGGTGCTTAGGGGTTTTGGCTTTGGGGTTCAGCTGTGGAGCAGTTTTGTTCCAGTGGCTCGCTCTTTGATGTTGTGGAGGCTGCATTGCAAGATGGACGGGGCTGTGGAGTACTATACTTTAATACTGTTATTTTGGTTCTGGGTTCCTATTATACTTTTTTTCCAGGGTCTACTCCGGAGCAGGGTAATCCGTGCTTCTGTGCTTCTGATTACTAGGCCCCCCCCTCCCCCCGGGGAATGATGGCAAGGGGTCGATTATTTCCTGGGCTGGGATGGGGGGAGGGGGGTGGGCGAGGTGCGCGGAAAGGGGCTGTCCTCTTGTGTCCTTTTCCACTCCTCTTCTTGGAAGGCTTATGTTTTTGCCTCGTTTTCTGCTGCAGTCTCCAATTCCAAAAAATCCGAGAGCACGTCGTATCATTACTTAAGCAATTCAAAATATCTGTGCTTCGTTCCCTTCTTGGGAGGTCGCTTAGGGGGGTTCTATTCTATCTGGGGTAAGAAAAGTGAATGAAAAGGGATACCCCTATTTTGGGAAATGCCCATATGGGTCATTCTGTGAACTTCTAGGAGCACTCAAGAGAAATCCACTCTCTAGACCTGTCGAAGCCCTAAGCCCTCAACCCTAAACCCTAAACCCTAAACCCGAAACCCGAAACCCTAAACCCTAAACCCTAAGCCCTAAGTCCTAAACCGTGCTAGGAGTGCTCGGCGAGTGCAGACGACGTGGAATGCCTTGGGACGTGAAGTGCCTGCAGGATCTGGCGACGTTGCGCTGTGACCCGTTTGGCACTGGCTCAATCAGGTTTCGGGTTTCGGGTTTCGGGTTTAGGGTTTAGGGTTTAGGGTTAGGGTCTAGGGTCTAGGGTCTAGGGTCTATGTTTTAGGGTTTAGGGTTTAGTTGTTTAGGGCTCATTCAAGGTTTGACACTGAACCCGCCAAAATCCTAACAACTCTTCTCCCTTAAGCCCGTAAACACCTAAACCCATAAACCCGCACGCCCATCAACCCGTCAACCCCATAAACCCATCAACCCATCAGCCCATAAACCCGCAAGCCCATAAACCCGAACCCTATACCCTAAACCCTAAACCCTAAACCCTAAACCCTAAACCCTAAGCCCTAAACCCCAAACCCTAAACCCTCAACCCTGCCCCAGGCAAGCAGCATCGCCAGGCCGATGCTGCGGAACTCCTGGAGGAGCCCCTCAGTCCTACAACCTTGAAAAGGGGGCTCTTAGGGTTTAGGGTCTGGGGTTTGGGGTTTAGGGTTTGGGGCTTAGGGTTTAGGGTTTTGCTGTTTTAGGGTTTGGGGTTTGGGGTTTAGGGTTTTAGGGTTTGGGGTTTGGGGTTTAGGGCTTAGGAAGTTAAACAGGTTGGTGGTCTCTTTCATTGGGTTTCTGTTTCAAAAGGGGTGGATATAGGGGGATCCTTAGGGTTTAGGGTTTTAGGGTTTGGGGTTTGGAGCTTAGGGTCTAGGGTTTGGGGTTTAGGGTTTTGGGTTTAGGGTTTAGGGTTTGGGGTTTGGGGTTTGGGGTGTGGGGTTTGGTGGTTTAAAGCCCGCAAAGGCTGAACAAAGCCAAGCCCCAAAGTCCCCATTTTGCGTCGTAAGTTTGAAGAGCATCATTGTCGCGAATGTGTTCTTGAGGGTTGTTAAGCTAAACCCTAAACCCTAAACCCTAAACCCTGAACCCTAAACCCTAAACCCTAAACCCTAAACCCTAAACCCTAAACCCTAAACCCTAAACCCTAAACCCTCCGAATCCTTGAGGAGCTCGCTGCTAAGGCCCCGCCGCACCCGGCGACTTTCATCAACCTTGGAACAGCGTCTCGGAGTTCATGGCTTTCCTACTAACCCCCCTGTAGGTGGTTTAGGTTTTAGGGTTTAGGGTTTAGGGTTTAGGGTTTAGGGTTTAGGGTGTAGGGTTTAGGGTTTAGGGTTTGTAGGTTTTAGGGTTTAGGTTTAGGGCTTAGCCCTCTTATACTGCGTTTGCTAGGTTCCTCAAGTAGTGAAGCCTATCTAGGGGTAATTAAGCCTAATTAGGGTTATTTACG